AAACTTGTCAAGCATATTTTATAATTATGATTTGATGCAATTACGCCTGGACCTTGTCCCACTTGAGTGGCTTGATCACCTCCCATGTGAAATCTGGGTCATCCCTGCCAAAATGACCATAGGCAGCAGTCTTCAAGAACCTGCCATTACCGCCTCTCTTAAGATCAAGATTGATGGCAATCATTCCAGGTCGGAAATCAAAGTTCTCCTTCACAATCTTGAGAATCTCCTTGTCTGGGATCTTCCCAGTACCATAAGTGTCAACAAAGACAGACAATGGTTCAGGCACACCAATGGCATAAGAGACCTGCACAATGCACCTCCTAGCAAGCCCATTAGCAACAATGCTCTTGGCAGCCTGCCTGACAATGTAGGCACCGCTGCGATCCACCTTTGTGGGGTCTTTGCCAGAGAAAGCACCACCACCGTGAGCACCCCACCCACCATAAGTATCAATGATGATCTTACGGCCGGTCAGACCAGCATCACCATGGGGACCTCCAATGACAAAGCGACCAGAAGGGTTCAAGTGGAAAATGGTCTTCTCGTCGAGATATTCCTCGGGAATGACTGGCTTGATCACATGCTCCTTCAAATCAGCAGCAATCTCATCATTGGTCACAGTCTCATCGTGCTGAGTTGAAATCAGAACGGTATGCACACGAACAGGGACCATGGCACCATTGTCATTGTAATACTCAACAGTCACTTGTGTCTTGCCATCAGGCCTGAGCCAGGGGCAGGTCCCATTCTTGCGCACCTCAGTCAGGCGAGCACCGAGCTTCGTTGCCAAAACATGACTCAGTGGCATCAATTCAGGGGTCTCATCAGTGGCATAACCAAACATGTGACCCTGGTCACCAGCACCAATTTCCTCAGGCCTCTTGGTGAGATGCCCATGAACACCCTGGGCAATATCAGGGCTCTGTTGTTCAATGTTAACCAGAACCTTGCAGTTGTCTGCATCAAGACCCACATCATCAGAGATGAACCCTATGCCCCGGCAAGTGTCACGAACGATCTTCTCATAGTCCACATTGGCCTTGGTCGTGATCTCACCAAAAACCATAACCATGTTGGTCTTGGTGCAGGTCTCACAAGCGACCTTGCTGTCGGTGTCCTGAGCCAAGCAGGCATCAAGGACTGCATCTGAGATTTGATCACAAAGCTTGTCGGGGTGTCCCTCATTCACTGACTCAGAGGTGAACAAGAAAGTCTCCATTTTTTCAAGCTGCATAAGAGCACAGAACCAATTACAAAATAAAGTCCATAACTTTACCAATCATTCTTGCAACCACATCTAATCAAAGGACAACTGGTTAAAATTGAGGTGAAAAAGGAACTAAATTTACCAGATCTGCAACCTTTAGGTACAAAAATCCTCACCCACTAAACCCAATGAATTAAACAATGGCCAAAATTCAAGATTTAAACCTTCTTAAAGCATACCAAATGAAATGCCAGAATAACATAGCAGATCTATAAGCAGAAATGAATTAAACAAATAAAAATTCGAGACCGAGAAGCAGAAATCACTAGCAATGGCAAAGCCAGCAGAGAAGAGTAAGAAAAATGGGTACCTGAGGAAGAGAAGAGGGATGAGAATCAGTGCTTGAAGAGGATGAGTTTGGCTTAGAGTTCTCAAGCTCAAGCAAAGAGGTAGGCGAGTTTGAACGGGGGAGGGGAGAGCGTATAAATAGGGAAATGCCATGAAATGCGAAAAGACGCAATTGGGGCTGGATTCATGA